ATCATCAAAATAATATGATAAAAATATTTAATCGCACAGGTTCTGGATCCAAAGCTTGTGGGCCACTTGCTAGATACATAAACATAGGTCAGCGGCCCACCATCCATACAGAGGGTAGTAATGAGGCCTTGTCTTTTAAAGGTACATTAGGAATTAAATGCAAAATTTATTTAAAGGGAACTCTTTGCCTGACCCAGAGTTCTCAAATGCTCAATAAATATTCATTGTTAAATTGAGTGATTATAGAAGTGGGTAGGTGGAATTCTGTCACATTCTGAAAAGTTAAGTTGGAAGGAATGAGCAGAGAGGAGAAACCGTGGAAGCAGTTTCCACTGAGGACTGAAGAAGTCCGTGCACTGTCTCTGGCAGGGGCTCACATAAATATTACCATAGATCATCCAAGAATAAATCTTGCCCGATCCAGGAAACCATGTTGCATGAGTGGAGGATGCCCCTGGTCTATAGCAGAACATTCAACTTTGAACAAGAGCTGTGTCCACCTCCTAGCTCTCTGGCTTTAGAAAGATATGGAATGTTTTAGTGTCAATCAGATGCACAATGTTGGTTACCAATAATCTTCCATCCTGTCTACTAGATCAAATTCTTGACTCTTCAGGTCAAAACATGGAACAATAAGAAGCAAAACAAAAGTAATATATATATGTGTGTGTGTGTGTGTACATACATATATATATAAAAAATACAGACTTAAGAGGTGCTTATCGTACATTCAGAGGAAAAAATATTTTTGAACAAAGATTCACTACAAAAATATCTTAGAATCTGACTTCTAACAATCTATAAACTTGGGAATCATAAGGAAACAGTAGTTAAGTGTGGTCCTCCATTCAAATAGATGCCTAATATTTATATTTATTATTTAAATATGAATGTTATTTAAATATAAATATTTGTGTTTCTCAACACTTCCCCATAATAACTTATGTTTAAGTATAATGTCCTCACTTATTTGTTTTTACTCCTAGCTGTATTCTAGTAATATCAAACATTTTTGGACATGTACTAAAGTACTAAAGACTTTACAAATGAGGACATAATGATAAAACCCCCCAATAATAAAATACACAGTGTAAGTCAATGAATAATATTGAACTGTCTAGAACTTCAGACTTTCTATCAGAGCCTTCAGGTAAGTGGCAGCAGCAGGGAGTTAAAAGTGTGCTGACT